GGTTTAGGGTTTAGGGTAGGAGTAGGCTATTGAGGCAACAGCTGTGAGGATCTAGGACTTGAGCTTTGTGGGTGTTAGGCCTATGCGGGCTTTGAAGCCGAAAACCGGTTCAGGAACTCTCAGCAGATGTCTCCCTTGCAGAGCTTACTTCCTGTGATATCTCTTCAAGGAGGCCGCCTGTCCATAACAAAGAAAGCCCTCAAACCAGACACCCTCCCAACTCTCATCCCATAATTCCTAAACCCTNNAAAGCCTAAACCTTTTAACAATCATCCGATAATTCCTATAAACCCTTAAAGCCTAACCTTTCAAATCTCAACCTAAGAATCCCCAATTCGAAGCGGAGCCCTCGCGGCGCCTCGGAGGTCAGAACTGTCGCAGCCGGCCTCCCTTCACGGTCCTGGTGGAAGTGCAAAAGGCATTGCAGGAAGCCCGAGCCCGAAGCCCCCTAAACCCTAAACCCNNCCCCTAAACCCCTTGAGCCCCTAAACCCCTGAACCCCAAGCCCCTAAACCCCTAAACCGCCAAAGCCTGAAGCCCTTAAGCCCCTAAGCCCTAAAACCCTAAACCCCTAAACCCTAAAGCCGGGCAAGGCACCCCAGAAGCGAAGCCCTGAACTCTGAACCCTCGGCCCTGCAACGCAACCTAGACCCTCAACTCTGAACCCATAATTCCAAACACCCCTAAACCCTAAACGAGCTTAGAGCGTTTTTCTGAGCTTCGGCGGGGGCGGAGCAGGAGCCGGGAAATGCGGAAATTAATTCTGAGGGCCTTGACTAAGTATGGTCTGTCCTTATGGAGGCGTTACACTCCTGTTCGACTGACATCGAATTTGAGCAGGGGGCCCACAGTATCCTGCAGCCTTGCTGCAAGAGGCTAGTTGGATGACTTTGAAAATGGGGCGCCCCCAAATCGACCTTAGTTTCTAGGATCCTCACTCCAAGGACCCGTAAATTGGAACTATTTCTGAAAGCCCGAATTGGGGCTTTTCCATTTTAGGGGATCGTAAAACCTTGCGCTGGCAGTCCAGGACCTGAGGATGAGCCGGCACGATGCAGAGGCCCCGAGCTTGAAGAAGAATTGCTCTCCAGGATTTCCCAAGAAAAAAGCCCAATGCTCTCAATTTGAGGATGATGCCCTGAGCTTCAGCTGGACCCGTAAGTGATGTACTTGGAGGTTCATGGGTAGTTATAAGTAGGGTTATAAGTAGGGTAACTATAATTTTTAAACCATATTAGGGGACTTATAACCCCACTTATAACTACCCTAAACCCTAAACCCTAAACCCTAAACCCTTGCAGATATTATGCATTCCGAACGTGCTGGTGACATGTCTGTCACAACTTGAGTCTTCAGAATGATGGCTTAAGCACCAAGACATGCCATAGTAGCTGCACTTTCAAGATTGCATCTCAATTGTATAGGCAGCTGGCAAGTCAACTACACATGTGCTTTTGTCGGTAAAAAGAAGCTCCTCTGACCGTGTGCATGCTTGGCGCCTCGACGGCATAAGCCCTTTCTTTGCTACTGGTCAGTGACAATTCGGAATCTACGAGATCAACAGGTTATGGTCGCCCAAAGTACAGAGCGAAGCTCCGCTAATCAACCGTCAAGTTCGTATGGAACCGTGGGCTTGGGAGTTCTGGCGAATGGTGTAACGACAGAAGAGCGACTTCAGCGTAACAGTGGGGGATTGGACAGTAGTTTGGAAGAGAATCCCAACCTACTTGATCCAGCCCCTCTTCGCGAACCACAAGGAGAAGCTCGTGAACTGATCCCTGCTCAACAGCATCCTCCTGTGCATATGGAGCCAACCTATGATGAGCCGCACCGGAGCGCGAACGTTATAACAGCTGAAATGGGAACAGTTGAGCCTGCACCGAAAGCCAACAGCCTACCCAGGACTCCTATGACTCCGACGAGGTCTACGGTGACAGTCCAGGAGTACTACACGGCGGAAGCAAGTTCTACTACCACAGAGCAACAGGGCGTGAGATGGATGACCAGAGTCACCGAGTTTCTTCAGAGAACAGCAAGTCGGGGAGTAACGGGCGTGGAACGAGTTCTGGATGGCCTAGGAATACCTCAGGTACAACCGGAGACCACGCAAGCCTCTCGATTTGCACCGCCTCCGAGGACCTCGACGACGCAGTCGGCCATGATCGTATATTCACCTCCAGAGGACCTTCCTGCACGACCGAGCAGGACAGTGCAGCCGCCACCCAGGTCATGGGAAACGACTACCGCTGTGGAACCACCTCTATTTGGCCCCACGCAGATTGAAAGGATGAGGCAAGCTCAGGTGGAGTACCCCCACATCTACGGACAACCCTCTGAAGGAGGGAGTGAGCACTCATCGAGGCTGCAAGCAGAAGTGCAACGACAGTTGGAGGAATACAACATACGACATCAAGAAGAGATACGAAGGATGGCTGAGGAGGTGGAACAGCTGAAGAGTGAAAAGGCGCAATGGGAGATGCGTGCGAAAAGTTTGCTGAATGCGGAAGCGACTCGTGGACAGCTTCAAGATGATCCACGCGTACAGCTTCAAGGCGATCCACGCGTACAGCTCCAAGGTGATCCACGCGTACAGCTTCCAGGTGATCCACGGCAACAGCTTCCAGGTGATCCACGCGTACAGCTTCCAGGTGATCCACGTACACAGCTTCCAGGTGATCCACGCGTACAGCTTCCAGGTGATCCACGTACACAGCTTCCAGGTGATCCAGCTCGGGGACAGGACAATGGCCCAACAGTGAGCACGACTAGAACATGTCAGGAGTCACAGTCCAGGGATGGGGCGAATGTTCAAGATGGGCAGACTACCACCCGTGGAGTAGGTGATCCCGAGGACATGTCAGGACCGCAAGCAGTCGAGCTTCAAGGACCAGAAGTCCACGGCACAACAGTGGCTAGGAGGTACAACGAACCAAGATCCTATGACACTCCTGGCGGGTGGAATGGCGCAGCTACAGGCGGTGATGCTTCAACAACTCACTTCTGAAAAAGATCGCGGAGGAGAGAGGAGCCCGGAGACTGTGAAGCCGGGAGTGTCGACGCTGCCTTTGCTACCCCAGGTGTCGTCTACTACTGCGTCGGTGGACATCATGGACTGGCTAGAGCTCTTGAACGCACCCATGTCTGACCTCAGCGATGGATCGGGTGAATGGTGGCAAAGAGTGAAGTTGGAATCGTCTACAGCCTACCATCTATGGACAAGCGCAAGCCCTATCGAGAAGCTCAAGATACAGCCGCCCCACGTTCCGGAGCTTGAAGCTGGACGCTGGAGCAGGGTCAATTCAAGGGCATCGTCTATGATACTTCTTGCCCTGCACGACACAGTTCGCCAAGAGATGGTTTCACGTAGATCCACAGGATCGGCAACAGCAATCCTCTTCAGACTGCTCACAATCTACCAGCCGGGCGGACAGCAGGAGAAGGTGCAAATCCTACAGAACCTCCAGCAGCCAAGTCCAGAAAAGGACCCACATCAGGCGGTTGTCTCGCTGCGAGCCTGGGCAAGATGGCTCCGCCGCGGACGAGATCTAGGACTTGCGGCACCTGACCCAAGCCTTTTGGCTCGGGGGCTGACGTCGATGACAAGGGCAGTGCTCGAGAAGGACCAAGAAGTGGTGTTTCGCACTAGCCTTGTGAGGAGCAACCTACTCGTCGACACCAAGCCGACTTACGAGACTGTGGAGCAGTACTATCACCACCTCCTTGCAGAATGCGAAGCTATGGCAGTGACGAGCACGGGGAACACAGCTACGGCTACCAATGCAGGTGGAGCTCGGCCGGACCCGAAGATCAAACCGATGAAGCCGGAACCGAAGGCACCATCTACGCCACCACCTGCACCGCCGAGGAGCACTTCACAAACTACTAACACTTCGGAGGAGGACACGGACAAGCGCTCTCAGATACCTTGTCGTTTTTTCGGAAAGTCCTTCAAGGGGTGCGCCAGGGGGACTAAGTGTCCGTTCCAACATACCTGGGAAGGGAACGAGAAGGAGAAGGCTGGACGATGTAATGTATGCGGTGGAAAACACCCGGTCAAGGAATGCCCGACCAAAAAGACTGGATCCACGCCATCTACCACAACCTCTGCACCTTCGAGTACCTCAAAGGCACCACCTCAGAAGCCTCCTTCCACGAACCAGCAGGCACCATCGCCCACCTCCAACAAGAGTGTGAGGATTGACGATAATCCCCAAGTCGAGAATATTCCCTCAAGAGCTACTACGTCGTCATCCGAGGCAGTGCCGGACATCAAGGAAGTTTTGGCTGATGTGGGGAAAATGCTTAAGGCCATGCAGGCTCCAACCACTTTTCGGAAGCTCAATGCCAAGTCCAAGGTAGAGAACGAGCCGGAGAACGAGAACCCCCAGGTGAAGAGTGTGGCTACGGATGAGGGTGGTGACATCCGAGGAGCATCTACCTCAATAGCGATCTGCGACTACGAGGACACCACGGAGGAGTTTGATTACGATGAAGAAGTTCCCGATGACGATCAAGGACCCAGAGGACTACTAGACAGCGGGGCGAGCCATGCGCTCAAGGAGGCCACGGTCGAGGAGTATAACCGTGGACTTCCAATCAAGGTCACGTTGGCAGGCGAGGACACCAAGGAGCTTCGACAGAACGTTTGCGGGACCGTCCTTGTCACCCAGACTGGCGACCAGAAGGTGCAACCGATCGTGCCAATGGGAGCCTTAGTCGAAGACCTCGGATGCAGTCTGCAATGGGCCAAGGGTACACTGAAGTTGAGGCATCCTACCAAGGGCTTCATCAAGGTCTACTTGAACAACAACTGTCCGGAAATCAACTTCCGAGAAGCGCACCGCCTTATTAAGGAGCTGGAGAACAAGCACCTTGCCTTGTTGAATGCTCAAGTCAGTTCTTTGACTGCGAGACTCGAGGTGCTGCGCAAAGAGGAAACGAGGAGCTGGAATGAGTTGCTGAAAGAGTTCACTAAGACTGGATCACAGTCAACTATGTTGAGGGCTTTGATGACGTGCCCGTTTACCAAGGATCTGCCCAGCGAAGTGCAAGCAATGGTCGCCGAAGGCTTTGAGTTGGACCAAGGGGAAACGTACCTCAAGAACCTCCCACTTACGAAGCGGAAAAGAAAGGCCCTCATGAACTCCAACTCCTGGGTCATTCAGCTTTTCCACGACGATGAGGACAACTCCAAAGAGCCTTTCAATGTGATCAACCGTGGAGGAAAGATGCTTCTACGGGTGGATTCGAGACTGTCGAAGCAATGGGACCTTCATGCCAGAGGTAGAGTTTATCGAATGTTGTTATGGGCCGCTGCCAAAGGGAAGATAACGGATGTCTTGGGTTCGCCGCCCCACTTTACATGGCCTACCTCTATGGCGCCAACACGTGGTCCAGGATCATATCCGGTGAGAACTCCAACGTCACCTTACGGACAACAACCTCTACAACCCCTGCAACAACACCGGGTGGATCAAGAGACGGCTTACATCGTCAAACAAATGATGATATGGATGATCGCTACAATCCGGGGACCGGGGGTGGTAGGTCTCTACATGGACCTCCCACAAGATCCAGAGCGACATCGAAGAGATGATCCGGCACAGGCCTCCTACTGGTCTACAGAGCTGTGGAAAGGCTTCAAGTCGGTGAGTGGAATGAAGCGAGTGGATTTCTACATGGGCGCATATGGGCACCGAGCCAAGAGACCTACTACGGCGGCAACAAATTACCCAGAGATTGCCCACATCGACAATAGCTACGACTTTGGAGACCAGTGTGTGCCTCCCTCTTTACTAAAAAGGGAAGAGCTGAACCGATGGCCTCGCGAGTTCAAGTCCATCCTTGCGGAAGCTGTGTTGAATATGCATGGACATCCGACCCATTCGGATCAAGAGGTGGATGAGGCGAGCATCAAGGTGAGCAAGCTCACAAAGGAACAGCGTATGGAATGGAAAGCCCATCTGGATCGTGATCATGAACCTTACAGAAGCGACTGCTCCATCTGTATAAACGCACAGGCGACTGGATATCAACACAGACGCAGGAGATATCCGGGAATGTTCACCTTAGCGGTGGATCTAGCTGGTCCGTTCCGCACAAAGGGCAAAGACCTAGACTTCGACGACTATCGATATGTCATGGTCGCAGCGTACAGATGCCCCCGGAGTTATGTTGGCGCTATGGAGCCAGATCCTGAGCTCTACGTCCCGGACACGGACATGGAGCTCCCTGGAGATGAGGATCCCCTGGCTTTGGATGAGGAGGAGAAGCTTCCCGGCATTGAGGAGGAGCACACCGAGGACGATGACGAGGAACAACCTCCAGATGACCCCTCGAAAGTAGATGATGAAGTAGAGGAGCTCAGCAAGAAGATGGAGCATTCTACAATTTACATCACACGTTGTTTGAGGAGGAGAACGGGTCCTCATGTACTCCAAGCCGCGAAAGAAGTACTTCTTCAACTACGACAATCTGGTCTGTATGTGTCGACTATACATACGGATAGGGCTCGCGAGTTCAAGTCCCAGGCCTTCAAGAGTTGGGTTACCGACGAGAAACTACGTCATAGCCGAACAGCTGGTGGGGATCCCGCGGCAAACAGCACAGCGGAGCTCGGGGTGAAGTGGGCCAAAGCAAGAGTAAGAGCGTTGCTGAGGAGTCCAGGTGCCTCCCCGAACGAATGGCCAATGGCTATGGATCATGCGTCAGCTAAAGTATGGGCAGGAGCCTTCCCCCACAGCCCATGGGCCAACTTTCCGCCCGTGGCCTTTGGAAGCGAGGTGTGGTACCGAGCAAAAACCTACAAGGGGAAGAAGGAGAAGATCCATGATGCTGATGGTTCAAGGTGGAAAAAGGGACTTTATCGAGGACCCGCCCGTGACGTCAGCCGAGGTCATCTGATTCTAAGAGAAGACGGCGGTTTGACCATTGCAAAAGGGATTAAGTTCAATGTGGTGGAGCCTGAGCGCGATCTGAAGGACATCCTCCCGCAAGCCTCTATAGATGGGGTCCCCATTGAGGACTTGGACGATTCCAGAATGGCTACCAAGAAAGAGCTGCGAGAGGAGATCGAGTTTATGGCCAAAAAGGCATTGTCAGATGGACGCATCACGGTTGAGGAGGTGCTCAAGATCTATGACAAGCTGGAAGAACTTGGAGACACGGATTTCCGTACTACAAAGAAGTCCCCGATGACCTCCTGGTACAGTGGTGCCTTTGTTCATGGTGGAAAAGCGGGCCTACGATCCAACGCCAAGGACTTTCCTATGACGACGAAGCTCCTCACCACCTACGCCAAGAAGTTCACGAGTGGTCGAACATTCAGTGCAATTGGAATCACCCGGAACACCACTCTGGGAATCCATCGGGATTCACATAACTCCCGTGGAACCAAGAATATGGTACTCCCTCTTACTGAGTTTCAAGGCGGTTCGTTGTGGATCCAAGGCCAACATGATGAACAGAAGCCAACTATGGAGAGAGAGCTTCCTAATGGCTCGAAGATAGCGGGGCAAGTGATCGAGCTCAAGAAAGAGAATATGGTGGAGTTTGAACCCTCCCTTTGGCATGAAGTCCAGCCCTGGGAAGGTGATCGACTTGTGATGTTGCTGTATACCCCAAGGGCTACAAAGCTCCAGAACGAGCACTACGAGGACCTTCAGAAACTGGGCTTCGTCATTGAAAAGAAGAAGGGCAACCAGGATGACCTCGATGAGGAGGAGGACAGTGCCGAGATCAGGAGGCTAAATCTACAGGAAGAGGAATATCCCATCAACGCCTTTATCGAGGTGGACGATTCGATCTTCGAATGCACATCCTCTATAACACCCGCGCCTGTCTACCCGAAGGCAATGGTCAAGAAGAGCGAAGTACAGTACACCCCGGACATCGAGCGGGTTCTTCATGAGTTGAAGGACAAGGGTGACGTGCTGGCGGTGACCCATGCAGTAAGTCTTAGTGATGTCAAGAAGAATCTGGAGTTATGGTATGATTCGGCGGCCAAGGAGTACATGAACCTCAAGGACAAGAAGAAAGCGTTCAAGGTCACGAAGCGCTGGAACCTACCACAGGGCTGCCGCATAGTACCATGCAAAGGGGTCTTCACTATCAAGCCGGATAAAGCTCCCAACCTCTTTAAGAGGAAAACAAGATTCGTTGCATGTGGAAATCACGTGCCCGAGGGGAGCATGATGCCGGAAGGCTTTGACTTGTTCGCTGCGGGTCTCGATGCAGTGTCCCTCCGTACGATGTTTGCTCACACCGCAGGCAAGGACTGGTGCACAGGAACCACAGACATACGACAAGCGTTTGTCCTTGCGCCATGGCTTGGCGCCCCAGTAGCGCTACAACCGCCTGCTATAGCGTACGAGTTGGGACTCGCCGAACCGGGTGACATGTGGGAAGTCCAGATGTCCATATATGGGATGCGGGAGTCCCCCGCGCTATGGTCTGGATTTCGCGATCAAGAACTCAGGGGTGCATCCTGGGAGTGCGAAGTCGACGGCACCATCAAAAGGTTGAAGTTGCAACAGTTGGTTTCCGATGATCAAGTATGGAAAGTGGTTGAGGAAGAGAAACCCCATGAAGCTTTGGGCTACATCATGGTTTACATAGACGACCTCTTGATCACTGGACCACCGAATATCCTCCACTCATTCTTCGACTGGGTGTCGGCGCGATGGGAAGTGGATGACTTGGACATCCTCGACTATGACCACCCGATAAGGTTCTTGGGTATGGAGCTACATCGAGTACCTGGAGGCATAGAACTGGCTCAAGAAGGCTTCATAAAAGAGCTACTACGAGCGTATGGCCATTCCGGTGCAAGATCATGGTCTCAAGGATCGAGGGAGTCTCTGGTACTGTCGCCAGAAGAAGAGGAAGCCATCATCAATGCCCAGCCTACAAACTTAGAGGGACGAGAGGCGGAAGTCAAGCAAGCGCAGCGTCGGGTCGGAGAAATGTTGTGGTTGACGGGGCGATCACGCCCTGATATTCAGTACATCACAGCGTTAATGGCATCCCGAATAACCCGGGCACCTGAGCTGGTGAACGAGATCGGCGAGCGGCTCTTGACCTACTTGAACGAAACACAACACTATCGCTTGAGTTTCGTCCAGAATGACGACTTGGAAAGACGATTGGAAGTCTTCACAGACTCCTCATTTGCTACTTCCTCTGGGAGGTCGCATGGTTGTGCCGCAGTCTTTTGGGGGTCGTCAGCGATAGCTTGGAGATCTTCAAGGCAACAGTTGATAACCCTATCGACTGCGGAAAGTGAACTACTCGAAGCGGTGGAGGGTACAACCCTCGGACTCTCCACCCAGGGGCTCTTGCAGGAGTTGACAGGACAGATTCTCCCAATCTATCTCCGGGTCGATAACCAGGCCGCAATATCGCTCTTGGGTGGAAGTTCAGCGAGCTGGAGAACCCGGCATTTAAGACTTCGTTCTAACTGGGTGCGAGAACGTGTGGCCCGGAAAGAGGTGTTTGTGCTACACGAACCGGGCGCTACGCAAAGGGCCGACATAGGGACTAAGCCCCTGACAAAAGAGCGACTTAAGATCTTGGTTCAACTCTGGGGAATCATCGACAGGAGGCCTCCCCAAGAAGCAACTATGAGGCGGTCGAGAACTGAAGGTGTGGCCGAACAATCGTGGTTGACGAGGCTCATCATGTTCTGTCAGATTTGCGGTTCTACGGCAGCCACTCAGGGGACTATCGAGACAGAAATCCCGTGGGATCTATACTTGGTGGTTTTGGTTTTGGCCATAGCAGTGATTGGTCTCTGGGAAGGATTCAAGTTCTGCCTGAGGAAGAAAGAAGCTCGACTACGTGCACTCAGGGTCAAGGCCAACAAAGCAACGCAGCCGCAGAAGCTCACTAAGGCTGAGCTCAAGGAGCTCCAGCGTTTGCTGGCTTTGGATCCGGAGGATCTGACAGCAGACCAGCGTGTTCGAATGGTTGAACTTCGGACGAGGTTTCAAGCTACTATGCCACCAAATACGTCCCCCATCCCGACTGTGCCAAGTGAATGTGCATCTGCATCTACAGGGAGGAATAAGCAGCCCTCTACAAGAGAGCAAGGAGTTCAAGCCACGCCGGCCTTTGAGAGAGTAGAGCCTGTTCCAGTTCCACCCGTGAGGGTTGAAATGTATGCTGGGCCGTTCTATCAAGTGCCTGGTAGAGACACTCTTCACCTCTTCCCTACATGTTGGGGGTTGAGGAATACTGGTAGGACTCAGAATGTTCAGCTGTGTAGATGCTGTACTGAGAATGCGGGACGTAGTCTCTACGATAGAGGCTAATACTCCTCGGAATGCCGACATGAAGGAGTGACACGGCCCCTAAGGTTGTGCCAAGGAGGAGTGCAGATATTATGCATTCCGAACGTGCTGGTGACATGTCTGTCACAACTTGAGTCTTCAGAATGATGGCTTAAGCACCAAGACATGCCATAGTAGCTGCACTTTCAAGATTGCATCTCAATTGTATAGGCAGCTGGCAAGTCAACTACACATGTGCTTTTGTCGGTAAAAAGAAGCTCCTCTGACCGTGTGCATGCTTGGCGCCTCGACGGCATAAGCCCTTTCTTTGCTACTGGTCAGTGACAATTCGGAATCTACGAGATCAACAACCCTAAACCCTAAGCCCTAAACCCTAAACCCTAAACCCTATAACTACCCATGAACCTCCAAGGGATCTTGGGGCTCCTTTTGTTCTGCAGCCTTCAGTCCCAGTCATGAACCGAAGACGGCCGAAGCCAAAGGTTAGTCCTGACCTGGGCCCAGTGGAGTTTAAGGGTTTGGGGTTCAGGGTTTTGGTGGAGTTTAAGGGTCTAGAGTTTTGGGCTCTGTTTTGGGTGATGTAGTAGCTATCCTAGGAACAAAACTGCAACGCACCCTAAACAGAACTTCACGCTGACCCTAGACCCCGAAAAAAATGCGGTTTAGGGTAGGGTTTAGGCTTTAGGGTTTAGGGTTTAGGGTTTAGGGTGGGCTCAGGAACCCTGTGCCCTAAGACTTCATCCCGAACCCCTGAGCCGCAAACCCCAAGCTCAAAGCGTCGTCGCCTGCAGATCCACGTGATGTGCGAAGACGAGCTTGGAACTGTCCTCCCCCTGGAGACGTGGCGAGAGAACCTAAACCCTAAACCCTAAACCCTAAATTACTAAACCCTAAACCGAGAGAACCAGTGGTTAATTCATTATAGGTTTGGGGAATTCGGGCTTGGGGAAGGGCCTAGGGTTGAAGATGTTAGGTCTAAACGGTTCATGTAGACCGGACCCCCCCCTCCCCAAGTAGGTAGAAAACTGGCCCGAAACGTCAATAGATGCTATTATTCTACATAGATTTGGGGTCCAGGTATGTAAGGAGGCCTGATTCGCGGCCTGATGCTTTCTTTGAGCAACTTCCCATTCAAGGCTTCAATGTGTTTCAACACTCCCAAACATTGGTGTCCGTAACACCTCCAGAATGCCCTTCCCTTTGAAGCGCATCTGTGCCAATTAGGTTCTGATCGATCTCTCTCTCTCTCTCTCTCTCTTTGTCTCCCTTCCCCCGCACGCCACCCTAAACCCTCCACCACCCAAGGCTTGAATGCAAAAGGCCTAGGCCTAAACAGAAAAAAAAACCTGCTCCATCGCAGGGCTAGGCGATCCTTCCAAGGACGAAGAAGGCCCCAAACCCTCAAGCCGAAGACCCAGAACCCGTTTAGGGTTTAGGGTTTAGGGTTTAGGGTTTAGGGTTTAGGGTTTAGGGTTTAGGGTTTAGGGTTTAGGGTTTAGGGTTTAGGGTTTAGGGTTCAGGGTTTGTAGGGCCTTAATACCCTAAAGTGCTAAGCTGCAACTAAACCCCAATATCTCAGAAAGTCCTCAGCCCAAGGACGAGACCCCGGTTCCACGGCCCGCGGCGAACTGAGGAGTTGGATTTGGAACTTGGGGTTTAAAGTTTATAGGGTTTAGGTTTAGGGTTGGGTTTAGGGTTGAGGATTGGGTTAGGGTTTAGGGTTGGGTTTTGGGGTATAGGGTTGGGTTTAGGGTTCAGGATGGTGACATGATGACGGCAGCAAAGCGCGAAATACAAGGACATCGCGGCATTTCGGGAGAAGGGGGTGAATTCACGACTTCTTCGTCTACTTCCTGAATCGGCTTCCGAAGCAATCTCGCTACACCATTTTGGCCCCTGAGTGTTCCTCGAATGGGCTTGCGTCTCTTCAGATCCAGGTATCTTCAACAATTTTATCTTCAATAGGGGCATGAGTCGAGAAGTTCTAGATTTTATTACTAGATGCTTTTGTTGAAAATGTCTCTGTAAACATAATATAGTTTGCATCCCTTCTAATCCTTGGCTCTGCCAGAGATTAAGATACGGTATTGTAACAAAAAGCAAATGTTACAAAAACGACGGGATTCATTCGGGGGTTTCCGATAATAGGGGAACCTGATATAGTACTCTAAATAGTAGGATCCTTATAAACGGACACCAAAATCGGGTACCCCTTGTTTTCGGAAACCCCCATTTGCTCCTGCTTCAGGTCTTCATGGGCCCCTGGTTCGAGGATGTCGACTCGCCACTGCGTAGTGGGGCGTCCGGTGTCGAGGCTCCTCAGGGGCCTTGAGGTGAGGTTAGGGTTTAAGGGTTTAGGGTTTAGGGTTTAGGTTGTAGGGTTTAGGGTTTAGGGTTTAGGGCTTTAGGGTTTAGGGTTTAGGAGAGGTTAAGCTGCGCCGGTGCAGAGCTCGGAATCGGCAACAGCATCATCAGCACCAAGATGTTGGTCATCGCCATCTCCATCTGGTCAGCCCCACCTTCATGACTTATCATCCTAATCTCAGTTCTTCATCTCGACCATCCTTATCAGTCCCCGTTTCATCGAGGCTGACCGGAGCGAGTAGAGCTGCTTCAGGTGTCGTAAGAGCAGCATAGAATCTCAGTGCTTGACATATGTGAGCCGTGGGCCCAGAAGTATGAAAGGGCAAGGCGCGAGCCTGGTTCACTTCTTGTGACAAAGACTACCTAGACCCTGATTGGTAGTACCTGTTATTGGCTGATTATTTTACGGTTAGGATCCTATAATAAGAAACTAAGGTCACCAAAAAGCGGCCCTAGATTTAAGGGTCTGAGTAAAACGGAGGTCCTGCAGCTTCAAAAGGCGCTCACACGCCTTGGTTATCTTGCCGCACCTCGGTGGAAGTCGGCATGTCACGGTTAATGTAGCAGACACTTACGGGAACCCTAAACCCTAAACCCTAAACCCTAAGCCGTAGACCCCTGATTAAGCCGATACCCTTTTCCTGATAGGCCCGAGGGTCCTGCTTCACGGCTTTAGAAGTTGGAGGTTCCCTGCCTCAGGGGCATGGGTCCCCGTGTGGGTTGACGCTTTTCTTGCTGAGGTTAGCATCCCGGGAGGGGCTTGTACCCAGAGACTCCAATATCCCTTAGTTAAGGAATATACCTTAAATTATAGTAGGATCCCTAATATGCTTTAAGGTATATTCCTTAATGAAGGGATGTTGGAGTCTCTGGGTACCCTCTGCTATCGAAAAGGGACCGTTTGCGGACGCGCACTCTTTACTTTGGACCAGATGTGAACTCTGAGGCTTCCATTGGGGTAGTTAGCATAGGGGTCCTTATGCCATGATATTGATCCTACTCAGCTGGTTTAGGGTTTAGGGTTTAGGGTTAAGGGTTTACTCTTCAGGGTTTCTATTTGGGTCCTCTATTTTATGCAACTCTCATAGTAATGTGCCCGAATCCTCTGCAAACGGCACCCAGCCTTCACACCTGGCCTGAAAGCCTGAAGCTTTGACACCCGACGCCTCAAAGCATCGAAGTTGAGCCTATATGGGTAGTTGTCAAAATTATGGTCCCTTTTGCCCTAAATAATAGGTGCCGTATTATAATAAGGACCCAAAAAGGGAGCATAATGTCGGGCATCCTCAACCCTTCGCCCCCCCGCATAAAACAGTCAGAAATCCACAAAGGCCCCATCTCTAGAAGACTCTGTCTCTGTCTCTGAAAGCCCCAAAAGGCCTATAGAAACCCTCAGCCCCCAAACCTGAACACTAAACCCTATAAACCCTAAACCCTAAACCTGAGCCCTAGTCGAACTACCTCTTCACACCATGCAGGCTCCCTCAGGTCCCAAAACCCTGTTCTAATTATTAAGGCCCCTAAACCTTAAACCAGGAACCCTCAAAACCCTACTCTAATTATTAAGGCCCCGAAGCCCTAAACCCGGAACCTCCAAAACCCTATTCTAATTATTAAGGCCCCTAAGCCCTAAACCCCCATCTGAGGAGGATCCCAACTTTGCCTCTGGAGTCTTTGATGAGACCACCGCTGCTCTCCAGAGGGGAAGGGGGGTTAAGTTGGGATTTCAGGGTTTGGGGCTTGGGGGTGGGGGTTGAAGGTTTCAGAGCGTTAGGGCTTTAGGGTTTTAGGGTAGTTTGGTTTGAATTCTTGTTTTGATGCGACTGTACGGTGTTCTTGAGGTCCTGAGGCTCTGGAGTTTGAGGATTGTAGTTCGTAAGTTTACGGTGTAGGGTTTTGTAGGGCCTAGTGTCTGCTGGTTCCAGGGTGTTTCGTGTTCGAGCTTTAGTGTTCCGGGGAAGACTGCGAGAAGGTGGCGGACACAGGGAACAACACATCGGGAAATAGGTGTGGCCGCGCTTAGAGTTGTCTTTCTGTCGGAGCTTCTTTGTCTGTCAATGTTTTGCCATTAGCCTTCTGCTGGGGCCGGCTCTGAAGGCGGGGGGATCTTGTCAGTGCCGTGCAAAGTCTGGGTTGCGACAGGATACAAAAGCCACCGGCAGCTACCGGTGACCCCAACCCAGGAAGAGGCCGTGAAGGAGTTCCAGCGATTCAGCGGCCTCACCCAGGAGCATCCGTGGGAAAGTCGCTGTGGCATTCCCCGATTTCACTTGAATTGGGAGGAGAATTCTGGGGTTGAAATCGACGCCGGCGAGTTTATGTTCTGACGACTAGGAGGATCCGGCCGTGGGGCCGAACATCTTGAGAAGTAGGGGTGGAACTCCTCAGCGCCCTGAAGGCCACCGAAACTGCATCAGCCCCTCATCATCTTCAAAAGATGGCAGCCCCTAAACTTTGATTAGGAGAGAGAACCTTCAATTCCGGAACCCCGAAACCTCCAACAACCTTGACCCTAAACCCCAAACCCTAAACCCTAAACCCTAAACCCTAAACCCTAAACCCTAAACCCTCCAGCCCAAAGTCCTCAGACTCCCTCACAGAGACCTCCCGCCAGGATGGCATCGTGGGTCCTGTGACCAAAGCTCAACTCACCGCGCAGCGTTTCGACAGGATGCCAGACGTCAACTTAGGAGGCCGGTTCTGACCCTAAGGCTCCAGGCCAAAAAAGCACCTATATAGGGAGCCCTTTAAGGCCTAAGTATCTACTATAAGGGTACATGGAGCCTTTGGGTGAGTTTCTGAGTTCCACTCTGTACAGTTGAAACAACTATAAGGGTTCTAAAAAGGTTCTGTAAGGGTTCCATGAATTTAAGCACTGTAGTAGGTTTCTGTGCAAGATTTCATTAGGGGTTCTTTCTGAAGGTTGCTATAGGGATTGAATATAGATTGAGGTCTTGTGGCCTCCATACCTAGGCTGGGGTTTTGAGGCACATTGCTTGTTGGGATTGCTAGGAGAGATGACAGGGCACATCAGGGCATCAAAAGCAGCCGAATCCGCAAAGGCTAGATCCGTGTTGAGTCCGGTTAGGTCGGAAGCAGGACCCTTGACCCCAAAACCCTTAAACCCTAAATCCTAAGCCCTTAAACCCTAAATCCTAAACCCTCAAACCCTAAACCCCTAAACCGCAAACCCTAAAACCCTAGACCCTAAACCCTAAACCCTACCTAACCAAGTCTTGGCCTTGCCTTTCCGAAACAGGTAGTCCCTTCAAGGACGGGAAGCTGACGCTCCTCGGCGCGGAAAACTGGGTTCTGTTAAGACTTCGGTTCCCGAACAAGAACCTACCCAAAGGGTCCAAGTACTAGTATAGTATATACTTTTCGGGCCCAAATACCTACTAAGTATCTACTATAATGGTACTTGGACCCTTTGGGCTAGACTAAAGGAGAATGGGTAGGTTGACTGCAACCGGCTATTTTCGAACCCTGCATGAAATACGCAGCTCCGAACCTCAAATCCCCAAAGTTCATTAGTCCCGAAGCCCGAAGCCCAAAGCCTCACTATAGTATTAAGCCCTCATCTCCGAACCCCGAGCCCTAGGCACTAAGCCCCATGAGCCAGAATACCATGCGCCACAGCTGACTTCCGTGTTGAGGGCATGCTGTCGGCAGCAGCCATGTCGAGGCATGATCTTAGATTCAGGCTCAGGTATGCTTCGAGGAAACTTCAGTCAGGGTTTGAGCTCCGAAGACCCTAAACCCTAAACCCTAGCTCCGAAGGTTTATGAAGTCGGCCCATTTGCCCTGCAGCCATTCCTCTTCTCGACTTCAATGCCTCCAAACACCCGGAGGTGAACTTGAAGTAGCCAACCTTACTTAGAGGATCATGGGACTTAGTAAGTAAGGTTTATAAGTCCCTTAATTGGGGTTATAAGTATAGTTACCCTAATTATAACCCTACTTACTAAGTCCCATGATCCCTTAAGTAATGCCTAAGCCCGACCGCTACTGCCAGCTCTATCTGCTTGAGGTACGCGGTGGGCTTGCTGCCGGGCTACCTGGAGCGCTCCTTGGTCTCGCCAGCAACCCTGTACTGTATACGGGGCAAGCCACAACCCAAAGCCCGCTGCTGCTTCTGCTGCTGCTCCTACTGCTACGGCTATGGCTACCACTACGACTACGACTATTCCGACTCCAACTACTACGGCTACTACGACTACGACGACTACGACTCCTCTGACTACGACCACGACGACGACGAACATCCCAACCCCAAGAGTTAAACCCGCTGCGCAGAGGCTACCGGGCTGATTGCCTCCGTGAGATGCACGAGGCGCCGTCTGCGCGGCGTCTGTGAAGCCCATCTGCCCTTGCCGTTGTGCTTCAGGTTTCCTTAAAGACGGTTCCTTTAAAGGTTGCTTTGGCGGTTCCTTTGACGGTTCCTTTGACGGTTTTTGTTTAACCAACATCACCAGTATGACATTACTCTTCTTATCATTATTGCTGTCATTTGTGTTATCATAATCATTATCATTGTTGTTATTCCCTTGTTACAATAGCCATGAAAAGGCCCGATAAACCCCACTAAACCCTCACCTGGAAGCCTGGTCCGAAACGATAACAGGACTTTACCTTAAATAACCATTGTATAGTCCTTATATACCCCGTACAAAGCCAGGTAGTCTCCATATTAACCCCAATAACCTACAAGGGTCCCTTTTAAGGGTCCCTCCGAAAGCCCTTTGAAACGAAGCAGCGCAACTTCGAAGGCCCTGGCTCAGTGGTGCACTGCGCTCGGCGCCTGAGATGAGAAAGCTTAAGAGCTCGGAGTTTGGCGGTGCTTACTTAAAGGATCATGGGACTTAGTAAGTAGGGTTATAACTAGGGTAACTGTACTTGTAACCCCAATTAAGGGACTTATAATCTTACTTACTAAGTCCCATGATCCTCCAAGTAGGGCTTATTTACGAGGTTTAGTTTAGTGCTTCAGGGCTTTCCGCGGTTAAGCGCGATGTTTAGCGGTTCAAAAAGGGGCCTCAGGGCTTTAGGATTTGCGTGTTTTCGGATTATGGGGAGGGTTCAGGGAGATCAGTGCGTGCAGATTGGTTGCCGTGATGCCCACATTCCCCGCCGTCTGACAAGTCGGGACTTGTGGATTGCGTTTGTTCGGTATCTTCGCAGCGAGGTGGTTCTTCCTCGGCAGGGGTCTTGCACGGTGCGCTTGTATGAAATTAGGTTTGAGGTGTTATCGACTTCCGGCATCGGCCTTACTTTGCAGCTCTTCGATCCCATCCCAAGACAACTTGAATGCATGCTGACACCCTCGTCGAAGCCCGACTCGAAGCCGCAGCTCTCGAACGTGAAGAACCGCTTCTGCCGCTCTCTCCCACAGAGACAGGTATGGAGCTGCAAAGGCAACTTGCTCATATTGGCATGGTGTTGGGAGGGGTAGCTAGCGCAGTGGGACTGCCTTGGTTTGCTCTTGGAGATTGTGAATGGGCGGTTCGAATTGTCAGCAAGGCTCCTTGTAACTCCCTCAGCCCGGCCCCAAACACTCCTAAGAGCCCTACACCGTGAGCTTGCAACCTTAAGTGTGGCGTTGAACTATAAGGACAAGCCATTTGCAAGCTCGCCTCCACATCGTCTTCCAGCCCTTGGCAATTGCCGGTGCTGCACCTCGGGCTCTTTCAATGTATAGAATATATAGAAGCCCTGAGTAAAGACTGATACTCTGCCTTAGGGTTCCATTCCATACTATCATATAGCCAAAAACACCATTTCGAATTCTACTCCTGTACGAGTATGAAGGCCTCCATATCAAGCTGTTTCTCTGGGCTTCCAGGATGTTTCGCTGACCAGGGGAGGGGCCCGAACCGCGGAACCCGAACCATTACATGGGAGTTTCCGAAAATGAGGGTACCTTATTTTGGGATCCTTATAATAAGGATCCTACTATTTAGGGTACTATATTAGGGTCCCCTAGTTTCGGAAATCCCCCACATGAGAATGCTTGAAGTCCTGGCTTCTCTCGACCCTTAGGGTTTAGGGCTTAGGGTTTAGGGTTTAGGGTTTAGGGTTTAGGGTTTAGGGATGGAAGCTAGAAGTTTAGAGCTTCGGGTTTCGAGGCCCCTTGAAACCTCGGGGGCCCCTATCCCTCTAGGCCCTATAAACCCTAAACCCTACTAGAAGCCCTAAAACCCTAGAAGCCCTAAACCCACAAGGAGCCGGAACCCGGCGGGGCACTCGCCGAGGCAGGGGCTTTGAGGGTTTTTGGTTCAGCTTTGGGGAGTGGGTTTCAGGGTGTGGGGATTCAGGTCCTTGGGTTCAAGCACTTTAAGGGGTTCAGGGTCTTTTAAGTTTGAGGGTTTGGGGTTTGGGAGGGTTTGGGGTTTAGTGCGCTGGGAAAAGGCAGCTAGCCACCGTTGCATTGATGTATCCTAGCGTTTACGAACACCAACTCTCCCCAAATTGTAGCCTTTGTCACGGTCAGGGGCTCTCGAACGTCGGTATTGCATCCCAAACTCCAAGCCCTACACCCTCCCCCGGAACCCGATTCTTATTGTTACGGCCCTGTATTACAGCCTCTTGCGTTTGCTTACAGAGAGGCGACGGCGAATCGCATCGTGCAACCTGGCCTGAACAGAAATCGGGTGTGGGGTTCGAGCGCTCTTCAGCAAGGGGCTGCAAGGTCGCTTTGGGAGTTTGGGGCTTACTTAAAGGATCATGGGACTTAGTAAGTAGGGTTATAATTAGGGTAACTATACTTATAACCCCAATTAAGGGACTTATGACCTTACTTGCTAAGTCCCATGATCCTCCAAGTAGGGTTTGGGATTTGGGGGGGGTTTTAGAATTATGACAACAGCAGGGATGCTTGGAGCCTTAAGGACCTGAAGCCCCAAAGCCTCTGAATAGGGTTTTGGGGTTTGGGGCCTAAGGTTTAGGGCTTAGGGTGTAGGGGGTTTAGGGCTTAGGGTTTAGGGCCGGGCTTAGGGTTTAGGGTTTAGGGTTTAAGAGCCGCCCACAAAAAGCCTGAAAGCCCGCACACCCCAAAGCCATAAGACCTCGACAACCCCTCGAAGCCCTTCAGCCCTCAGCTTTAGCCCAAAGCCGAGGTCCGGTTAAATACCATCAGCAGCCGTGTCCTACAAAGCCCTAAAGGCTTTAGGCTTTACATAGGTTCTATGGAGTCGAAGCAAAGCTTAAACCCCAAAACCCCTAGACCTCTTTGTCATATATTTTTAAAACCCTACTGCCATTCGTGAGCAAAGGCAGGTTGGACCCCTCCGTGGTTAATTGAATTCTTGGGCAAAGGCAGTTTTGCCTTCGCCCACGAATGGCATTAACCACTTCGACGTATCCAAACCCCGTGGTTAGTCAGATTCGTGGCAAAGGCAAAACCTGCCTTTGCCCGCGAATTGCATTAACCACCCCTAAACCCTAAGCCCTAAACCCTAACGGGGGGGGGGAGAGCATGATTTTGTGGGCACGAACGGCATTGATCACTGGTGAGAGCATGTTTTCTCCCGGCTCTGGGCTTGCCTTTAATGTTTAGGATTTAGGGTTTAGGGTTTAGGGTTTAATGTTTAGGATTTAGGTCTCTGGGCTGGCCTGTAGGATTTAGGACTCAAGGCTCTGGGTTGGCCTCTACGGTTTACGATTCAAGGCTACAGTTATGAAGCCCTATACCCTAAACCCTGAAACCCTAAAGAAACTTATAATCTGGGGCCGATCTGAGGCTCGACTCCTCCGAGCGATGGCTTCTCAAGGCTTACGGGGCTCTGGATTGGAGAGCGTTGAGTTTAGGGTTTTAGGTTTAGGGGTTTAGGGTTTTAGGGTTAAGGGTTCAAGGGTTTAGGTGCGTGGCTTAGGGTTTATAAGGCTTACAGGGCTTACGGCTCTGAGCTGCCAAGGTCTAGCGGATTCCTTGGTGAAGGCCTTTGGTGCAGGGTTTTGGGGCTCCGGCTGTTGGGGTTTAGGGCTTTCTTCGTTCAGACCCTAAACCCTAAACCCTAAACCCTAAACCCTAAACCCTAAACTCTAAACCCTAAAACCTAAACCCTAAACCCTATTTCTTGGTGCGGAGTTTGTTGGGGGTAGGGCTGTCGGTTTCGAGTCTACGGCTCGAGGCTGAAGGGCTTTTAGTTGTCTGTTGGGGGTTGAGGGTTGTTCGGTAAGTTTCAGGGGGGTTCAGGACTGCTGCCTCGCAGTGTTGGAGTTGAGGGTTCTTGGTTAAGGGCTTTGGGGTTGGGTGTAGCCGCGTAGCCGTTTTCGGGTTTTGGAGATGAGGGTGTAGATTTCAAGGGCCTGAGTTGGGTTAGGAATCGAAAGGGCGCCAAGTATGCTGCGTAATTTGCTGAAGCACCGAAACTGCTGCATTCTGTCTGTAATTTGGGGGTCTGGTGAAGTAGAGTAATTTAGCAGCATTATTTTCTTAATGGCCCATAAATATATTATGTAATACTATAGCCTAATTACGCTGTTTTGTCGATAATTAGTCCCTTTGTTCTCTTATTCTCCACAAATATTCATTTCTAATACTGTAACTCCATAATCTATGCCCTAAAGCTTTATTTGTGCCGCTTGTCACGCTGCACGATGAGGCCCAGACGAAGCCGGACCGCTTCCAGAAGGCCGGGTTTTGCCAGTTCACATGAGTAGCAGTCGCGGTGTTCGCCTGAGGCTTTGGAGATTCGGATTTGGGCTTTGGGGTTTCAGATTTGGGCTTTGGGGTGTCGGTGTAGGGTTTGGGCTTTAGGTTAGCAGGTTTAGGGTTTAGGGTTCAGGGGCCGAAACTCAAGCTGGAACTTTGCACTCTGTTGTGTCAGGCCTCAAGCTTGCAATCCTCGCCCAGATCGCCAGGCCTTTTATCTGTCTCCGGTCCTCCTGCACGAGGTGGGGCACAGCCGCTGGGCAGCAGCCTAAACCCTAAAAGCTAAATCCTAAACCCTAAAACCTAAATCCTAAACCCTAAACCTAAATCCTAAACCCTAAACCCTAAACCCTAAACCTTAAAACCTAAATCCTAAAGCCTAAATCCTGCTGGGCCTTCTGACATCTGTCCTTCTTATGTTGACGGAGTGTCCTTGCTATATGCTAGTATAATCGTCACTAGAAACGGGCACAACATATAAATATGTATATATATATATATATGTGTATACATACAAACGAATATTTCATTTACATAATTACAATTCAGTTTTTTGAGCATAATGAAACCTTTTGCTAATACACAAGATGTATTGTATACATGTAAACCTTTCTGGAAGCATCTGAAATGATGTTCGATCCTAGGATTTGAGGTTTTGCAGGTGCGAAGCGCCTAAACCCCCTAAACCCCCTCTAAACCCCCTCCAAACCCCCTCTAAGCCCCCTCTAAACCCCCACAGCTTCCCCCTTGGTGCTTAGCTTAGCAGACAGCCCCAGCCCGAGTGGCCGAAAGGTGGATTACTAGTGCCTAAGTGACGAGCCTCGCTGCAGCCTCTTCGCGACCCGTTTTAAGGTTTTAGGGTTTTGGGTTTAGGGTTTAGGGTTTAGGGTTCAACCAAAACCTCAAACTAAACCTCAAACTGTGACCCGCTGCTCCCGGTTGCGCCTCTGTTCGTTCCCACACGCACACTTCGAATTCAGACGCTTGCAGGCTCCACGTTTCGAGCAGAATCAAAGTAGTGCCCGGCTTTGGCCGCGGCTCATCTACAAAAGCCGCTAGAGTCAGCTAGAGTCCCAAACCCCACACAAGTCCTCCAGTTCCCGAAAGCCCGAAAGGCCTGCAAGCCGAGCCGGGAAACCTGCACTTTGCTTCCCTCAAAGCAAGATTGTAAAAACTGAACCCCAAACCCAAAGACCCCCAGACCCTTCTGGCCCATGACCATGAACCCCAGCACCCCTCAAACCCCAACGCCTCCATACGCCAAGACTCCAAGACACGCAGAGCCAAGGCCTTGGTTTGAAGCATAGCTCGGACCCGGCTGACGTGATGTGGCCATACTACAGGCGCGGTGGGTGGGGGAGGCGGCGGCATTCGTAGAGCGGGCTGACTTTGGATATTATTGGGTTGCTCTCAGGATTAGTGGATTTCTTGGCGTTTAGGGGCTTGATTATGTCGGGCCACGGACAGAAGCATACAGCAAGTCGATCTGACACGAGTCATAGAATCTCTGGGCCCAACCTGGAACCCAAGCTTTTCAGGCCCAGCCCCCAAAAATTCCTCAACCCTGTAGAGCTCCCTCAGTTTAGGGTTTAGGGCCCTCAACCCCAAAAGAACTCCCTCAGTTTAGGGTTTAGGGTTTTAATTTCAAGAGCCATTTTTGGGCAGGCCGAAACCCCATAAACTGTAGTTGTCAGGCCGGAGCCCAACCTGGCCTTGTCGATGGCGGACTGCAACGCCTTGACTGCACTCTTTCGTCCCAGCAACGCACCCTGGCTGACCTTCAGGGTCAGAGTTTAGGGTTTAGGGATTAGGTTTTAGGGCTTAGGGTTTAGGGTTTAGAGTTTAGGGTTTGGGGTTTGGGGTTCAGGGATTAAGGTTTAGAGCTAGTTTAGTTCGCAGTCCTGGACGGGCCGGTTCCAAGTCATGTCCTTGTCGATGAAGCTTCCTCACGACAAGCAGAATGTAGGGCTTTGAAGCTTAGGTTCCGTGAGGTTTAGGAATTCGGCTAGTTGCCCAGAAATCTCAAGCCCGGTGAGAAGCCATCCCTAAAGCCTAAACCCTAAACCCCGATGCCATTCCGCAGAGGACTGCTGCACCCTTTCTTGACCGAAGCTGGCGCTTCCTGCGTCTTTGGGCTTTGCAGATGGGAAGGCTCTAGAGTTTTCCTCAGCGAAGAAGAACAAAGTGCGAGTCTGTGTAGTGGGCAGCGTCAAGGGGACCTACATACTGAAAGCCTTGAAACCTCAAGCCTTAAAAGCCTAAAACCCTAATCGTTAAACGTCCGAAACCCTAAACCCTAAACCCTAAACCCCAAAACCCTAAACCCTAAACCCTAAACCCATTCTTCAGACACCATAAAAAAAACCTGGATCTCTAAACTCGGACCTCACTACTTGTTTTAACCCAGCTTTGCCGATTTTTTGGAGGTTTTAAATGCGCTGCTCCTCCTGGGCCGGAATGTGGGATGTGACAGGGAGAACGGATTCTTGTAGTGGTCTTATATGGTCTGCAGGGGCTTCGCGCTGAAGGATCCCTAAACCCTAAACCCTAAACCCTAAACCCTAAACCCTAAACCCTAAACCCTAAACCCTAAACCCTAAACCCTAAACCCTAAACCCTAAAGCTGAACAAGAATCACAAATCAATATTCCGTAGGGTTCCAGAGTTCCTCTCGTCGGCAACTTGGAGGAGCACGTGGGGGGGGGGGGGCAGCTTCGAAGAACATCTTTCCTGCTGGCCAAACGTGCCGGTGTTCCCAGAGAGCCAAGCACCCGCTTCTTTCGGTGAGGTACCCCAAAAAGCATATAGGGCTTGCTGTTCGAGGTTGCCCTAGCTAGAGTTGCTATATGCATTGCTGCGATTATGACCAGTACTTTCCGTTTGTTGAATACGTTTGTTGTTGCTTGCTATTTTATCGTCGGTGTTACTGTTGGTGTCATTATTATGACTTGGTTGTTCTTATGGTTGTTATTAGCACTTCTGTGATTATTGGTGTTACTCGTATTGCTGTTATTCTTGTCATTGCTTATTATTATTATTATTATTATTATTGTTCGTATGCTTCTTCTTATTATCATTACAAGTGTTGCTCTTGTTGTTGTTACTGTTATTGTTGATATTGCTATTCTTATTGTGGTTGCCATTCTGTTCGTATTGTTATGATTATAATTGTTGTTGTGGTTTTGTTATTCCTACTCTGAGTTGTTTTCCTTCATCAGGGGTCATTTGGCTCTCTGGACTGTTGCATTGAAATCTACGCCATAGGCGTGGCTTGGCTGCCTGTCTGGAGGAACAACACGATTCGCGACCAAATTCTGTCTGCGGGATTTACTGGTTCGGGTAGAAGTTTGTACGGTTTGAGGACTGATGTGCTTTCTGCTTGGTGTTTGTAGGGGTTCAGGGTTTCGAGTGTCGGGCTTGTTACAGGTGTTAATGTGACGGGGTTCTGGGATAGGTTTGTCTATTCGTGTAATTATTCCTGGCCATATGTCTTCCCTTTCTCTGAAGCTTGCGGGCTTGTAGCCCGTCCTGGGATTATGGAGAGGTTTCTTGAAGTAAAGGGGTATGTTGGTTTAAGGAGTGCTGATTTGTGAGATGCTGGTATAGGTCCTTTTTTCTGGTCTCTGAATGCGGGACCTGCTCTCCAGGCTCCTATAATCAAAGGTGGTCACCCTTCACAACGGTGCCCTGAAACAGACACAACGTATATGGGGCTTGGAGTAAGTACGAGTCGCATCCATTTATGAGGTCCCTAAACTGTCGTCTGATAGAACGACTAGTACGACTGCGAGTCCCGCACCTCACAAACCTCCAATCCGTAGCGAATCCTGAGCATCTAACCATAAGTTAATAAGCGATCCTGAACCTTGAACCCTAAAATTCACGCCCCAAGCCCAAGCCTTAAATCCCTAACCAAAAGACCCTAAACCCTAAGCCACAAGCCCCGAACCTTAAACACCCAACCTTGCTCGAGTCGGGCAGATTTGATTCGTTTCATGGCCTTATCGGCTCTTCCTTGCCAGTTCGACGCACGGTACTCATGGTACAGCACCCGAGGCATTTCAAGCCCATGAACCAGATCAGAGCGCCCCACCTGCTTCCGATCCTCATGGGGCTGCGGCTACTTTAGAGGCCTAAATCATTACCGACACTATTTTGGGGTTCCTTACTCTATTCTCATATTCCCCAAAACCGTATTCTAATTATATATGAAGGCCCCTATATTCGGGTGTAGGGTT